TTTAAATAGGGAAAAAAAGGGCTGAAAAATTTTGGCTGACTTAGGCCAAAACCGACTTATCGAGGGACCGACTTATCAAGTCTACCTGTGTATGGAATTTAGGCACTTCCATTTCTATATATGGAATTTCAGCATTTCGGCACATTTTGGCATTTTCAATATCGGCATTTCGGCAAAATATCAGCATTTTGGAAAAATATCGGAATGCACATTTCAAATCCGAAATATTCGGAAATTTAAAAACAATTTCGGCTAACATCCTTAATATATATATATATGAAATCCATTTTAGAAAGATCATCACATTTCTAATCTAAAAAGTCAAATGCATTTTTTCGAAAATTCTGCAAAATCTTACATAATGACTTTGTATGAAATTTACATTATTTGGTAGCTCAGGTTATTATGATCATGAATATAAAAATTAGTGTTTTTGTATATCTGAATCTTTTTTAATTTTAAAGAAGTATCACAAAAACGTAACACATAATACATAATTATGAAATTAGTTATGCGTGATGAAATTAATTACAAGCAATGAAATTAGTGATGAAGAGAATTTTGGAGAAGAAGCAGCAAAGCAATTTTAGGAGAATATTTATAAGAAAATTTACAATGAACGATATTATTTATTATTATTATTATTATTATTATTTATTATTTTATTATTTGTTAAATTGATCTGCATTTTCCCAATAAAAAATCCTCACATATGATTTTTTATGTGTGCTCAACTATGTTTGTGTTTATGCTGATATGTAACACCCCAACTACATATGTTCATATACAAACTGACTGTCATCTGACTTTAACTTGACTTTGCATCACCAAAACCAATTTTGCGGCAATAACAACAACATATTCTGATTTCTCACCTTCTATTTTATAGACTGTCAAAATAATTCAGTAAAAAGTGAAGTTAGTTATAGAAGTCTTTTTTGGAATTAGAAAATCATATGTTCACTGAAAATAATAAACTTAAATCATTTTACAACTGTTAGGGACCATAAATAATACCAATAGAAAGCCCACATTCTGTTTAATATTCTGGTTAGTGATTTGGATGAGTAAAACATTTATTTAATTTGTTAGAAGGTACATTTATAAACATTAATCATAATTCTTGCACTATTTCATAGTTCTAAATCATGTCATGTAAAGGATTACTGAACCAAAAGAAGACGTGAGAATGTATGAATGAATTTATTTAATAATTATAATTTTATTTAATACAATTTAATATTTATAATTTATAATATTTATAATTTATTCAAGATTTAATATATCAATATCTAATATTCAATATCTTTCATTCATTAGATAAGAACTATGTAATAATTTAATATATCAAGTAGTGAGTAAATGATACATTTGTTGGTTTTCAATGTTATAGGATATGCTGTCTCAAACCATAGGTGTACTTTATTACATAGTAATTATAGTAAGAGTTTTCGCCTAATGTTTTTGCTGAATTATTTACCACCAATTACAAATAAAAAATATTGCTAAGAATATATTTATTTTATTGTCTTGAAAGCAATATTAAAAAGTTTTAATAATGATCGGCATATTATAAAATTATCCAATCAATTTCTTTATGGATCAACCAATCACAGATAAAGCCCGCTATGTTGTTGGCACCATATTAATTCAAAAAAATTTTTTTTTTATAAATTTCGTTTTTTAATATAATTTTCTAGTATCATTTTCCACCAGAATTCATTGCTGGATGATCAATACTTTGGACATCTAAGTTATAAAGTTCATCATCTTCAATGTTTATAAGTTCATTTAGAACAAAATTATCTAAAAGGACCATAATTAGATGATTGAGATGAAGTAGAATTACATCCTAATAGAAAAGAAATTAATTAATTCATATGATAAATTAAATTATTAATATTATTATTGCTAAGAACTGGTATTTTAATTTTTTCTTTCTTGGCTATACACAACATGAAAATTTTGACAACCACTAAAATGTTGCAGTATATGTTCAATTTTATCTACTCATGTTTTAATTCATTACTGTTTTTCACCAAGTTTAATAATTTGTTACTAGAACCACTTTTTTGTTTTGTTTCAATGATGTAATCTTTCAAAGCTTTAACCATCAGAATAAAGAATTGTGGAATTAATTACTGAAAATGTGATTATGAGTATACTTGCCGCCCATACTATGGGACATGAGGCAATCCCCAATCCCATTGGGTATGGGTGGGTGGGGCTTTGAGGTTAGTAAAAATCCCACCCAATCCCCATCCCATATCCCACCCCATACCCCATATCCCATATCCCGTCCCATATCCCATATCCCATCTCACATTAACCAATCATATTTTCGTCATACAATTAAATTTATATTCTACAATTTACATTTTCATAACGAGTACAATGTACAAATAAAGAAAATAACTAAACATTGATGGCGAACAAATTAATTTATTATATTAAGTATTTTTGCTAATTATGTTTAGTAATATTCAGATGAGATTATCTGTATTATAAATGATATTAATATTATTTTAAAAAAAAAATAAAAGATATATTTGTTTGTAGAAAAATGTTAATTTGTTTTTGAATTCACAAATTCTTTACAATGGTGAATTTATTTTTAAAAAATAATTGTTTGTTTTTATAAAAAATTTATTATTAAATTATGTTTGATAAATAGGCTGATGAAACAGCATAGTGGAAATTTGAAATGTTACACTAATTTTTTATATTGTGCAACGTAGCTTTACAATACACGGCAAACCTTCTGGCAATAAAAAGTAAGTGATAAACTGGATTTGAATTTGATCCGAACTTGATCTCCAATTTAGAGAGGTAACAACTATACACCGGCGAAGTTTCAAAAGCAATGAGTTCTGTACAACATTTCGTGTAACAACAAACTTCCACTATGCTTGATGAAACAGACAATTTATCAATTTATGAAATTAATACAAGTACTGGAAACTCCAGACAAGGAGGTAAATCTAGAGATCCAGTATGGAATTATTTTAATGCAATAGAAATTCCACATGACTCTCACCTGTCAGCACAATGTAAATTTTGCTTTAAGTCATGGAAACGTGGTAAACCTTCTGAATTGAAAGGGCATTTGGCTCTGAAATGCCCATTGGCTAGTAAAGAAGTAAAATTAAAATATTTAAGATCAATTAAATCAGATGATAATATGACTCTACAAATAAAAGGCAAAGTGGAAATATTGGAAATAATATGGATCTTCATTCTTATTTTGACAGTGATAGAATAGATGCACCAAAAATTTCAAGAGCAAATCAGGCAATAGTTTGTTTTTTTGTATGTTGCGGGATCCCTTTTAGTGTTGCAGATTCACCTTTCTTCCGTGATTTTACAAAAACTTTATGCAATGGCTATGAACCTCCAAAACATACCACCTTGTCTAATCATCTGTTAGATTCTGAGATTGCCAACATAACCTTAAAGATAGAAAAAGAGGTGCGAGATTCCAAAAATTTAACTTTAGGTAATTAATGTAATTATTTTAAGTAAAATTCATTAATGTAAATTTAATCATTAATTAATGTAAATTATTTTTAGTAAAATTTATTAATGTAAATTTTAATTATTAATTATTTATGTAATAATAAAAATTATTTGATCATTCTTGAAAGGTATTGATTCTTGGACAAGTCCTCTTGGTCAAAGTATATATGCTTTTGTAATTATTACTCCAGCTCGTCACCAATTTATATACTCAATTAATGATTTTTCAAGTGACAGGCATACAGCTCAATTCAACGAAGAACAATTGTTAAGAATAATTGATAATATTGGAAAAGAAAAAATCGCTGCAATTGTTTCTGATGCTGAATCAGCAATGATAGCAGCAAAAAGAAGGATTGTATCTAATTATAAACATATTTTGCCAGTAAGATGTATTGCTCATCATATAAATCTTGTTACAAAAGATATTACATCATTAGATTGGGCTAAAAAAACTTTAAAAAAATGTCAAAAGATTGTTTCCTTTTTTCATAAATCACATTGTACTGGAGCTGCATTACGTGAAGAAATAATCAATTCATTAGTATTTGGTGGGAATTTAAAATCATCAGTGAAGACTCGTTGGAGCACATCTTGGGATGTTTGTGAAATATTAAATTTGCAAGTATTTAAATTTATCTTTTATTTTTTTATAAATTATAAAATGATCTAACACTCATAATTAAAGGTGGTTGAAGAACAACTGAAATCTTTGTAAATGCAAATGCCATCAAAGGTTATCCTTCAAAATCGTGAATTTTGGCATGATGTTGAACAATTAAAAGTAATAATTGGTCCAGCAAAATGTGCAACAAAGGATCTTGAATTTTCAACAACTACTTTATCTGATTGTTTTTTAGAATTGATAAAATTAGCAAGTGAAATATCAAAAATTCCTATTCAAAATGCAGATCTTAAACATTCATGTATTGCAATATTTAATAAAAGGTGGAGTGAATTTGATATTGATATTTATATGTTAGCATTTTTCTTAAACCCTAAGTACCGTGTTATGTATGACAATTTTTTTATTTTCAAATTTTTTCTTTTAATGATATTTATAACTCATCTTTTTATTTATATAGCATCTTGCTTTCAATATAATATTTTTAGAAATGTATCAAAAACTGCACTTAGTATTTGGAAAAATCAAGGTGGTGTTAAAACAAGCTCTGATCTTTTGTTAGTACAGCTAAGTCTATATAGAAATTTTGAAGAACCATTCAATGAAATCTATTTAGATGGTATTAATACTCCTATAAATTGATGTACCTCTTTGGAACTTAAAAAAAATGAGGATTGCATTAGAGTACTTGCTTTAAAATTACATTCCATTGTTCCTCATAATGGGGCATGTGAAAGAGTATTTTCTGTGTTGGGATGGTACTTAGGAAAAAGAAGAACAAGGTGAATTTAATATATTTATATTTATTATAGCTTTTAAATGCAAAACATTGAAATGTAATTTTTTTTACAACAGAATTAACATTGAAAGGTTGTAATCCATAGCACAAATTCATTCTTATCTTGTAACAAATGCAAAAGATGAGTTGAAATACTTAAATGAAGAAATTTCAGTTAAGAACTTGATGAAACATTTAACCAAATTGCTTTATCAATTACCAATGGAAATGATCTTTTTGGACAAGATGATAATCTTGAAGATGTTAGTCATCTTGATAATAATTGTGATGAAGAGGTTATAAATTTGGATGGTGTTAATGATAGCCATTTAATTATTACTGAAAGCATTGATTTGAATTCAAGTTTATTGACTAATAATAATATTTTATCAAATGAAATTTATGAAGAAAATGATATTGATCATGGAGATACAAATTTTGACATTGATGAATTGTTAGATAATCATAATTTGATTAATTATTGTATTCTGTTTGTAATTATGGAATTATTTATCTTTTTAATTGTTTTTATGGTTTAACAATTTTTATTGATGATAAAATTTTTTATTAATAAATATACAATATATTTTGTTAATTCTATCAATGGGATATGGGATGTGGGATATGGGATGGGATATGGGATTGGGTTGGGGTTGGATGGGATGGGATGGGATTTTAAGAATTTGAGTATGGGCGGCAAGTATAATTATGAGTTCAATAATTGATAATAATTAAAAATGATGTAAAGGTAATTTTTTTATTATTATTAAAAAAAATTTAGATATGTACTCTTAATGTACTACAGAATATAAAATAAAAAGGATAAAGGTTTTCCTGACAATGAATTAGTATTACAACCCACTACAACATCTAATGATTCATTAATTATAGTAAATAGTATTAACGGCTTAATAACAATAATGATGTTATTACTATTATAGGATTTTACAAAGTAACATTTTATCACTGTAGAAAATCATTGTTCCAGATACATCGTATGTTCGTATGTTCATTCATATGTACATATGTAAAATTTCCTTGTACAGGTGTATGACCACAATGAAACTGTACAAACTCAATTGTATGAAGTACAGTTGTACATTGAAATTCCACAACCCTGCTCTAAATCATCAACTTTGGAACTTTTAAGTTTTGATTTAAACAATCCAAAAAAACCATCAGGGCTAAATTAGATATGGCCAGTTACCATAAAAGAATATGTGATTTTTTTATGTTTATCTGTTAATGCTCTCCATGCTAAATATTGGATCATTGTGTTGTTTTTATTTTGTCCTGAACAATTATCTGCATGAATGATTATTACTTCCTCGCCAAGACCCCTTTGCACGATTCTTCTATGAGATAATTAATCTAGATAATAAATCAATTGAAAATTTTAATTGCTTACCTGTCTGGTCTAAAGTTTTCACAGACACCAAATACTTGAACTTTATATAATGCTTTGAAAAATGAACTACCCTATTTCTCAATTAATATATTTTAAATTTGATTTATTTACCTTTCATAAAATCATAAAAAATATATACATACCACTTGTTGTGAAGAATATGGGAGATGATGTACTTGCTCTGCAAAATCCCATGAAATATGAAAATTTAATAATAAGTGAATTTGCAGGTCTAATGGGATTTGAATCTTGATTTAAATTTTCGGATGCTTCCTTTGCATTCTTTAAAAAAATTTTTAATAAAAAATTAAAAAAAAATGTACAATGATTGATAGACGCACCTAATACTTACGTAATAAATAATTATTATATTTGACGCCATTGGTTAACAATAAAATAAATATTAATATTATTAATTTTTTTTCCTTCATATACTTACTATTTTTTTTATTATAACATAGAGAAAATAAATTATTGAAACAGCATTGATTTTGTCGATTTTATTGTCGAATAAAAGATCCTTTTTATATAACAGTAGACTTTACTTTGTTTTCAGTTTGTGACTTTGGGCGAAATTTTTTTTTTGTGTTTCTTTTTAAAATCTATTTTAGCAAGTTCTGATTTTTTTTTTACTTTCAATCTTTTCCATCAATCAAAATAAATAAAATTCATCATTTTAAAAAATGGTCTTAATGGACACAAAACTCACATTATCTGAAATGGAAGAAGGTGAGATTGTTGATGAATCTGGAACCTTTGACAGTCAGGATAAAAGTAATTATAATGACGAAAAGAGTAGAGAAGACCGTAAGCATCGCCGTCACTCAAGCAGGCACTCACATCACCACCACCACCACCACCATGATGATCGTGAACGCAGTAGTCATCGTAGCCATCATCGGCATCATGATTTAGATCGAAAAAATGGAAGTGAAGGAGTAGAAAAAAGTCGTAAGGACGGTTTAGGTAACCACTTAAACTCGACCGTCAATATGATCGTCGATGATGACGAAAATCGTAGCGATCTCTTCATGAATCGTAATGAACATTCTACTGCATCTTCCCATAAACATAAACGCAGTAGAGATGACTTTTCCTCTGAAGATGAAAATCATCATCATCATCACCACCACCACCACCACCACCACCCATCATCTCACCGTCGTTCTTCTCGACATCGATCTTCTTCACATCATAGCGAACGCAGTCGCAGTTTAAGTCGACGAAGCAAAATGCCACGTAGGTATGATGAACGAGATTACCATTATAATCACAAAGAACCAAGTTATAGAGAAAAGGATGTGGGTTATAGTAATGAAAGAGGTTATGAAAAAGAAAGGAGTCATAAAGAATCCTCCAAAAAAAACAATGAAGAACATATAAATGGAATAAACTCAAGAAATGAATTTGATGGTTCAATTAATGGGCCAAAAAATAAGTAAATATAAAAATAGAATTTTTTTTATGTTTCTATTTGGTTTAACACACATACATTTATTTATTGAATATTAATTTGTATCTATGTTCATTAGGGAGAGTCAAAATTCAACAAAATCTAAAAATGAGTCGGTATATGCAGAAGTCATTGATGATTTAATAGATATAAGTTTAGAGAATGAAATAGACGAAGAAAAACTAATAGAAGAAAGAAGAATGCACAGGAATGCAATATTACAGAAACATAAAAATAAAAAAATTGATAATTCCACAATTAATCATAACAACACCCTTTTTTCAGATTCAAAAACAATAGAACAGAATGAACATAAATCAGATATACAAGGTAAATTATTTATCGATATTATTGTCTTTGACTCATTGTTTCGATGACAATTCAAGACATTTAGATAATTTATTATTCTAAAACTAGATTCTCAATCTGCAGATACTCCGACTG